GGGGCCAAGAACGAGGTTGTTTTTTATACCCACATATAAATTGTTTAGCATGTTTAATTCTCGTTCCTTTGGAAAGCACAGGTGAGTTTTCTGTATTAGGATTTATCTTGTTCATTTTGTCATATCTGATACTTTTCACTTCCTCTGCACATTGTTGAAGTACCTCTATATTCAGCTTCCACAGATGTGTACAAAGGGTTTATAATTTTAGTTGGTCACAATTTGCATGGCCCTTGGAAATATATTTGTTAGGAATGAAATATTTTGAAATGGAATTTAATATTTGCAATTTATTAAAACACTAATAAAAATCTGGAGCAATTCTAAATTATGCTTTATAAAAAATGCTAGAGGCTAAATCTTGGAATAGTGCATGCAAAGTACTTTTAAAACTGTAATATCTATCTAAAAAAAAAGCAAAGGTTTCCAAAATATCTTTCAATTCTTTCACTTTTATTTTTAATAAAAGGCATTGGATTGTCAGTAACGAATTTCAGTGATGCCTAAGATATTTCAAGATAACAAAGCATAAGCAGTCTTGATATCTTCCCAGTACTGAAATTAATAATTAGACAATACTATCATTTCAATACTATGGAAAGATATTCTGGGAAATAATTTTATAAAGTATTCATTATGGCTCATTCAACTCTAGTTTATCAACATCAGTAATGTTATCAGATTTTCTAGTATAGTCCTAAAGTCAATGCTTTTCAAAATATCTTTTGATTTTCAACTCTAAGTATGGCTTCTTTTAGTCACATTTATACAGCCAATGGGCTTGAATATAATATTAATGTTTCTGGGGGCCTCTAAAAACTTTAGTAAAAATGTGCGAGCATTTTGATATCATTATAAAGGACACTCACATAATGTTGTGCCACGAATACTTTCATTTAGAGTAACCATTTTAACTGTATGAATAGTAATTAAGAACTGAGGTTTGAGATGTTTTGCTACTGTCTTATAATTCTTTGATATTTTTTGTATTTTATGATTACTGAAAGCATAGAACACAGCACAGCTGAAAAAGAAAAAATTCACACTCTCCTTTACCTCCTTAAACTCTAATTCAAAAGTAAATTTAATATACGGAATGTGATGGATTATAAAGATAGACATAATAAAACACCTGTGTACTTTTATTTATTGGACTTAGGGACCCTAACACAATTGCCGTTCATCAAAGGTAACCATCGACAGACAATGGTGGCCATTGGATTTGGATATAATTATGAACTAAGTTCTGGGGGGGGGAACAAACAAAGGAAAAAGATTGTGCCTTTTGTGGACACTGTGCCAGGAACATCCCCATATCTCCCTCATATGTCACACCTGATCATGCTGCTATAGGCAAACTGTGACGTGACTCCTAGGTAATGACCACTCTGCCACACAGGAAAAGTGAGATGAGGCATTAAAATGCGAGAGGAATGGAAAACGTTTTAAATATCTGCCCGTATGTGATTTGGAGAGTTAAACTGAATCCATGATGTATTTCATGTTGTGAAGCATCTGGATTAATTGACTTGGAGCACAAGCCAAATAAGAATGCTTGAAACTATACCTAGTAGTTTTCATAATTTCTCACACAAACTCAGAAAAATATTAGTTTATATTTTGGATTGCTAACAAAAAAATCTTTTACCCATAGAGACTTTGTTTGCTGAGGTTAATGAATTTAGGCTCTAATAAAATAAGAGACCAAGATTATAAAAAGCCTTGGATGCATATTTGACAAAGAAACTAAATTAGAACAGAATATAATACTTTGTTCTATTAGAGTCTAGGTAAAATAACATTGTGCAAGGAAAGTGAATAGCATTCAAAAATAATTTTAAAAACTTGCTGAACATATTTCTTCATAAGATTCTTGATGAAAAAGGAAGAATATCAGAGAAATTCTATTTTGAAGGCATGTAATTCAGAAAAGGAAAGCATGGAGATATTCTAAAATGTCAAGCATTGTTTTCATTATAAATAATATATTCTAGGAGGCTACAGGTAAAAAAATAATTCTGTTCTGCACTATCCAATCTTCCTGGAAGAAATTCCAGTAGCAGCCTGTAAAGGTAGATGGATGTGGCAAACCAATTCACAAATTGCAGGCTTGGGAAAAAATAACACTGATTAGAAAATGAAAGCCAATCAAGATTGGAAACATTTTACCTGTTTTCACTTAAGTCTTCAATCTTTTTTCTTTCTGGCTTAAGAAACAGAATACTGTATAAAGGGGTAGTAAGAATTATGAGCTGTAAATATTTCAAAATGGCCACATTGACCTGCTCCACGAAATTTTCTGTGACTAAAAGGACACAAGGTATTTGAATAATCTCCCGGTTACAACCTGGTTCATGAAAATTAAAGCTATCATTTTTTATCATGCCTTGTCCTGATATGTAAGATCCACTTCAATTAATTAAGACAAAAGCTTTAAGGAAACTATCATGGGTTAATAAAAAGATAAATGACTTGAAATATTACTTGATTAGTCCCCTGCTTTCAATGGAATTGCACACCCATCCCATTCAGAGTGGTACACATTTACTGCAATATTAAGGACCCCCCAAAAGAGATGCTTGTTACTTTCACTTTTCATCCAACCTGCCTATGTCAAAATCCCCCATGGTCATAAACACACCTCCAGAGTCCAAGCTAAACATTCATGTAATTTCTGAACTACCTTATGAATAGTCTCTTATAAGTCAAGACTTCCATTTTTTCAAAGGACCCATCAGAGGGGAGTAGGTGCATATCAAAACTCCCTGGGTGACTTTGAGTGACTTCCCTCCTCCCCCTCCAGGTGTTTTCCCCATCCTCAACAGGTAAAATCCTTGATATATAGAGAAATGATAAATAACATACATTGAGTGATTTATCTGAGCCAGGCACTGTTGTATGGGCTCCTTCAATCTTCACAACCAATTTATGAACTATATTAACATTCCTATTTTATATATAAAGAAAGTGAGGCTCAAATAAGTTAAGGAACTTATTCAAGGTCACACATCTAAAAATAGGAGAGCCTGGTTTTGATCTGGGAAAATCTAACTCCAAAGTGAGCATGTTTAATCACCATACTATATTGCCTCTCACTATTTGGTTGGAATGATTATTTTAAGAAATTACCAAAACAAATATGAAAACAGCCCTCAAAGTCATAGTAAAGTGACTCAAGCAAAGACTCAATGAAGAAAATTATTTCATGAATATAGGTCCATTCCAATCTAAAGCAGACCTTGGCTTATAAAAATTCAATTCAGACCTCCCTCTCCTACTCTTTGTCTTTTTAATGTATGTTGATTTTTTAAAAATAATGTTGGCCTTGTTCTACACAACTGTTGCTAACTAGTCTTGATTTTGCCCAAGTGTCAAAGTACCACTGTTGTATAAACCATGTAACTCTACCATCTTCTTTCTTTTTAGAATTTAATTTATTTATTTATTTTATTAAAAATAACACTATTAATACCTATAACTTATTTGGTTACTTTAAAAATATTTAGAGGCAAATCACCACATCAGTCTAAAAAGTAGGACTAAATTTAATGCCATCAATGAATCTCATAATTATAATATTTAGAAAAGAAGCCAGATGCAAAGAGGACATACAATGATGCAATTTCTATAACATGCAAAAACAGGGACAGTGATCCATGATGTTAATGTTTTGAACAGTGGATACCCTTGAGGAGGGACCCAAGGGGGTTCTGGTTCTGATACTATTGTGTTTCTTCTTTATCTGCCTGATCGTTACACAAGTATTGCCTTTGAAGAAATTCACTCAGATTAACACTTATATTTTATGTACTTTTACACTACCTATGTTATATTTCAAAACAATGGATTACATTAAAAATATATGTCATCCAAAATTCTCATTTTCCTAATTGTAATTTAGCACAACTTTTTCTCTTCCAAAATATGTGATTAATGTTTCATTAACAAAGCTAAAAATATTTCTGTATAACACTGTAAAATTACTATTTTTCTAAATATGAGTTTTAAAAGTCAAAATTATTAAGGTATACTTTACATACAGTAAAATTCATCCTTTCTAATGTACTGAACTATGACTTTTGATAAGCGCATATATTTGTGCAGCCACTACCATTATGAAGATACAGAAATGTTTTATTATTCTCCTAGATTTCCTCATACCCTTTTGTGGTCAACCTCATGCTTCCCTCCCCAACCTTTGGGAACACTGGTTGATGTTCTGTCCCTATAGTTTTGCCTCTTTCAGAATGCCATATCAATGGAATCATAGAGTAAGCATTCTTTTAACTACAGCTTCTTTCAATGACCATGTTTTTAGATCCATCCATGCTTATTGTATGTCAGCAATTACTTTCTTTCCATTGCCGAGTAGTGTTACAATATACGGATATACCGCAGTTGAAGAACACTTGAATAATTCATTTCTAGTTTTCAGTAATTTTGAATGAAGCCATTATATTCATACTCAGGTTTTTGTATGGACATAATATATTTAATTTTTAAGTTCTAACTCGTACTTTTACCTGCAGAAAATATTTTCTATATTGCCTTTAGTGCATGGTAATTCTGTTACCTGGGCATATAACAAATAATAGTTCAAAATAATATAAAATCAAAAATTGAATCAAGTAACAAATATTTTACAAAAATATACCAACTTTTGCAAATTTCTTTCTTAAAAATATATTATTTGAAATCATCTACAGAATTAAGAATGAAATATTTGATGTGAAAGCTCTAGCTAAAAAATTCAAAATTAGTTAATTTTCCTTAATTGTACAAAATTGAAAATAATGACATTAACAAATCTGGATTCCAGAATCATAATCAATGAAGTGAGGAGAGGTAAGAAATGTGGCTTAAAAAAGTTAAGCGCTAAATGCCTCTTCCTATCTCCCCAATTTACCATATTACAAATTTCGCCCAACCGGTTAGTACTTTTCACCCATGACCATTGGGAAAGGATTCGAGCGACAAAATGGAAACATGGTAGATGTTACCTAGCATGTTGTGGTAAAGTGGAATGGCCCGTCCAAGGGTAGTAAATGCAGTCATGACTAGTGGGACCGCTACACCTGCAGGCAATTACAGAACAGAAAACATCATTCTCCATTCACAGTGACATGCACACTCATGCACCAGTGCTCACACATGGAGCCTCCAGGAAGAACATGGGAAGCAAGCACACCAAGTACCTATCCATCAGGCCGATGCAGTCTTCAATACTTGAGCCTATGCACCTGCAGAAGATGCAAATTTAAAAAATACAAGGAAAAAATTAGTCATTTAAAAATCGATAAAAACTGTACCAATTGTGACAAATTCTTAATCATAGTTATTAGACACTCTTGGAACACCATGAATTTAAAGGCAGTGAGAAGATTATTGCTGGATGGATACCCAGAAATAAATTGCAAATACCACCCAAGTGGAATGCATAGAAACATATTCACAGAAAAGGATGTTTTACTCTATTTCTCTGGATAACTTCCAAACACATATTGCGCATTTCTAATATACGTAATTCATTTGCCTCATTTGTAATTATGTCTCAGTGAAAAACATATATTTCATTGGCTGTAATTGGTTCCATGCATATGATTTCTTCAAAAAGCTCTTAAATTTAAGTAAAAATAAAATCAATAAAAAAGAAAGCATAAACTATTCAATATAATATAATAACCTGAAGCTTAACACTGTTGAAAGATCAGTTTTGGCAGAAAGTGAGTTGGCATTCTTTAATGTTATTCTCATAGATGCTTTACATAATCACATTATGCCATTCCTTGGTTGTGACTGTCTTTAAAACATATTTATCTTTAAACATGAATTCATTTAAAAAGCAAATTAACTGGTTTCACCATCCTGCAGTTTGTCTTGACACTCTCTTTCAAAAGAGCAGTGCCATAACAAGCAAACAAAAACAAATTTTTTAACTGCCAAAATGTTGAAGTTAATTAATAACAAATAAATAAATCCTCTCCAAGGAAATGAATAAGTTCAGATCTAGGTAACTAAAAAAATCTACTGAGATTAACATTTAAGTAAAATAACATAAGTATACAAAACTCTGGTGTACATTCCCTAGAATTTCATTTCTAAGTATTCTAGAAATAATGTTTTTTCTACCCTCTGGTTTTCTTGCTTTCCTTTCCATTTTTCCCCAACAAAGACACAGAGCTCCAATGCATTATCAAGATTCTTCCTAGAGCTATAATTTATAGAAGTATCTAATTCTGCTGGTAATAAAAATGATTTTTCCAAACAAAATTTCTAACACAGCAAAAGAATGTGAAGTTAAAATTGCTGTATAATGAATAAAATATGTATCATGTATAAGGCTAGGCTGTCCATTATATCTTTAAATAACTAAACACTGGTAAGCTAATATAACTATGCCTAATGATGATTAAGTCATTATTTTCCTGCATCAAGAATATGTTATAACATTCATACCAGGTAAAAAATGGGAATTGTTTTGAGGATTGGTTTGAGAGGTCCAGAAAACTTTTAATGTACAGATATATGAGAAATACATTATGTATAAAGTTTTTTTAAAAAAGCAAGTAAATAACTAGAGCATATAATTTTGAATTGATATCATAATTTCTAATCACAATATTTTCTAAAATGAGAAAATTAAGTACTAAAAACATTTCCAAATTGTCTTGTATGTTTTTCTTTGAATTCTACTCTGAAGAATTAATTTTTTCAGGTTACTATTATATCTTCCTCAAAATGCTTTTATAACCCATAAAACCTATTATAAGTTAACTTATTAGCTTATAATCTGTGTTTTTATAATAACCTTTGAAAAATAAAATTTTGAAAGTCAAGTTAAATGTCAGGAGAAAGTGTGAATAACAGAAGATTATTCATTCATTAAAAAACAAAAACAAAACCTGTGTTGCATCATGCCCACTCAGTGTTCCTACTATTCTAGGAGCTGGAGGGAGAAAAAAAGTGGAATTAGATATTTGTCCATTTTTTATGAGCTTGCAATCCAGTGAAGGAGACAGATATGACAATAGGAATAGGAAAAAGAAGCTAGAGCATGAGACAGGAGCCAGAATTTGAAGATGTCACTTAGCCACAAATTTAATGAAAACCATCGGAGGGTTTCAAAGAAGTAGTGAAATTGCTGGCTTTGTGTTTTATGTAGATCCTTACGTGGGGGCTGTGCAGCTGGTAACCAGAAAGACTTGTTTGGCACAAAAATTGTTTTAGTCTATTCAAGAGATGATGGGCTATACTAGGAAAATGATGCCTATACACAGGCAAAGAGATGGATTCAATAAATATATTGGGAAGTATGGGGGGAAAAAGAAGGAAGTTGATGGCTGTTTTGATAGTGAAAGTGGGAGGAAAAGTTAAGAATGACTCGGATTTCTACCTTTGAGAATAGTGAAGCCACTAGTGAGAGAACCCAAGAAGAGGATCATCGTTCCCTTGTGTGCGCTGGGGCAGAAGAAATTGCTTATTTCAGTTTTGTGCATCTATAGCTTAGTGTTGTTCCACAACCCAGCAAGAAATGCTCCTCTGCAGCTGGAAAATGAGTCTGTGGCTAGAGGGTGTGGGGAGGGGCAAAAGGCACAGTGTGATCATCAGTTTTCAAATAACATCCAGGAAGAAATTAAAATCATGTAAGTGCACAAAATGGCTGAAGAAAACTCTAAAGTGAGAAAAGCAGAAACTGAGACGGAGAAACTCCAGTAACTAGTCAGTAAAAGGCATCAGAAGATGAGCTCATGCCAGAAGCATCGGGGAAATAATTGAGTATAATGGATTAATTACAGTATCCTTGAAGCCCAATCAGCAGGAAACTTCAGGCAATAGAGTGATCAGCAGTTCCAATGCAAAGAGAGGTCTAGTAAAATAAGAACTGCCGAGAGTATTTCAGTTGAGATAGTCAAGCTCACTAGAATTTACAGTGTGAACGGAGAAGCAAATTGAAGATAGAGGCAATGGAAAAGGAAAGGGGGGAAGAGGGGGCAGGATGTCACTCACAGAAAATTGGTTGAGAGGATTGGGTAGTTGATTGCGAGATTTGAACATGTTTGTACACTAAAGAGAAAAGAAACAATGGAAGACGAAGAAGAATAAGGGTATGGTTGAAGCAGTTCTATCCTTTGTGAGGAACAGTCAGTATTTTAAGATGTATATTCTATTTCAAGTCTGTCCTTTACATAAGCAACTAGTTAGCACATATAATTTATATTGATTCAGCAAGACCATGGAATACTGAAAACACTAAACTTTTGTAGAGTCAAAATCTAAACTGAGAGGTTGAATAAAGATATGGAATAAAATAACTTTCAACAAAATCAGTGTTCCAAACTAGAAAATTTCTAGAAAGAGCAGAATGAGAAACTATAATATGTCAATGTAACAGTATAAAAATATCAAGAATTTCAAATATTGAACTGCTTAGTATTTGTCAGAACTTATCAATTTATAAGCATCTTGATGTGCCCATATAACTAATGTAGTGGAGATATTTTGACAAAATCTCCAAATTTTGAAATGAAAATAGAAGAATATTTAAAAGTTTCAAAGTAGTGTTCCACAACCAGCCCTTCTCTTCTTTTCTCCATCAATGGAAATTACTTCACTGATAAAATAATAAAAAGAATTTATCAAATAGATTAAGACAGAGGAAATTTCATAATCTAGAATCATGATTTTAACATGAACAAGAATATTTAATAAAGTTTTGAAAAGATGCCTCATGAAAAACACATCTCCTCATCCATGTCTAAAACCCAAAATTAAATTGACATTTACCATGGACTCAGTGGTGGCAGTTGAGGAAGCTGCTCTTTCCTTATGGTCATGTAATTGCATAGTAAATTCAGTTTACAAGTCCTCTTTAAAGGTTTCTACTTTAAAGACTGAAAATACAAAATTCATTTCTAATTTTTAAATTCTTGCTCACCCTCTCCAAATATGGGCAAGAGTCTCTAATGGGAGGCTATAAACTGTAGGAATAGTCGTTCACCAGACTGACACTTCCCAGTGGTTCAGAGCTGTGCCCGGCCCCCTTCTAAACTTGGCGGTCACCAGGTATGATGCACATTAGGTGTTTAAATGAGAAAAGGCTGCTAAAGTAAAAGTCTTTTAGTAAAGATAAAAAAAAACAACACTATTTTTTTTCCAGTAGGCATGTTAGTGAAAAAGTTCCTGATAGGTGCTAAATGGATAATCTGTTTTAAAGGTATCTAAAGAACTTATTAGAGCCAATATACATAATGCACTTTTAGAGTAGCAAAAGTGCTCTTAAGGTATTAAACAGATAATTTTATTTTCAGAAAATCATTAAATAGTATTCAGAGTATGAACTTTTCTTCTTTAAAAAATGTGATTTGAAAGACTATTTCCATTAACTTGGCTCTTGAATTATCTAGCTGACATAATATTGGCATACAAAAGAAAAGCCGTTTTCCAAGTGGAGCTGGCCTGGTGAGCTCCCACTTACTAACTAATAGGTCAGTAATTACATGTGCTTAGGAATAGAAACAGTCACTCGTCCCGTCATCTCGCTGCCCCAGTGATCCTTTAGCCTGCGAAGTGCACTCTGTGGCTCCAGTGAAGGCTGGCAAAGCACAGGGCTGCACTCCTGTACTGTATAGAGGGGTGCACAGGGAAATTTGAAATGTCTAAAGTCCGCTGTGTGGCTAGGGCCACAGAACTTGAGTGAAGTGAGTGAACCTGGATGATATGGAGGCTATTAGAAAAAAGATGGCAGTAAATGAAACAAAACCAAAAATCCTTCAGGACTGAGTTAGTCATTACAGAAGCCAGGTACCTGGGAAGATGCCAGGGAGGACAATATTCAAATTCTGTCTAAGTATCATTCTGTAGAAGTAAATTTGAAACCATCTCTCCATTTACTGGGAGTTCCCACCTGATCTGGTCAGATTCATCCCCTATTACACCTGCCTACTCCCTTTTGGCCATCTCACGTTCGTGGCTGTGGTGAATTGATCTCTTCATTGTCTCTGCTTCTATTTCCACGATATATGCTTCCTCTTATTTTATAGTCATGATTTAACAGGGCTGAGGGGAAGACACACCAGCCATACATGCAGACTATGGCTCCCTGTGATCTCACTTTCATTCCCCTAATGGCTTCATTGTAATTAGATTTGCAAAAACAGCAAAAGGCCTCATTTTGAATGGCAACAGCTGTTGACATCAACATTATATTAAATAATTTACTGGTTTAATTTTAGCTGCAAAACAATAAAACCCTCTCGTGGATGATGATTTTAGCCAGCAGAGTTTTCTCTTTCGGTTGCTGATGCTTCTGCTCCAGTGGTGCCAGTTGTTTCTTCGTGAAATACTCTTGACCCGAGTGAGCCAAAAGCTCACAGGGGGAGCCGTTTATTCCTGCTAGTTTCCTTGAAGCACGGTGTCTGTGTGAATACTTCAGGGTCCTCAACCTATGGGTCTATGTCTAAACCATTGGGTTGGCATTAGCCCTTCCAAGCTGAATTTGAATTTGAATGGCACACTATGACTTTACCTTTGAGGATCTGCCACTCAGAGAATGACTTAAGCTGATTTCTTGACCTGCAGAAAATTAACAATCTGAGAATCGATGTCCTCTTGGCAGAAGGGAATGCTGCTTGCTTCACTTCTTCAGTATCCCCTAAAAACTAGCCCTTAATCTGGCAGAAAATCTCTTTATGGAATCTCATGCTTTGCTGCCAGATATAAAGTAAGCAAGATGATTTTCAACAAGTGCTTGTGTTCTTATGTGTGTGCACATGCGTGTGGACACTTGCAATGGACAAGGGGTTTTATGGGCACAAGGGGGATAGAGCATGAGAAATTGCTCTGGTTTCTAAAAGTATTCATCTTCCGCAGGAAAGAAAAAGAAAAGACCTTACCAATATAGAGATTTGTGGAAAAAATAGTTGCTGGGATTTGTTAGATAACCGACATTAGTTCAGTGCTTTTCTTCTTTCTGTTATGCCTTCGTTTTCCACTGTTATAGGTCTCAAAGATAAATCTAATTTTTACTCATTTATGAGATGTAGTTTTGAAAAAACAGAAAAATGTGTCGCCCAATCATTGAACAAAAAAACAAGAAAAAATTCTACATCAAACAAAAATAATTCTGTTACAAGTCAACCTACAGCAAAATTACTTTCACAAAAAGAACTGGTAATTTTATTAAAATACATATTACCAGGTTCCCTGATTTTTCTGCTACCATTCCTTTTGCTTATATTTTCTTGAAGGAGTAATCCAAGACAGTATTTACCAAAGAGGTATTAAATTATGCCTTAAACTGGTTCTAGCAACAAGGAAGCAGAAACAGAAAACCAATGTTGAAGATTTACTAAGCACACATCTCAAAAGTATAATCACTATCTTTCTTTTCTAATGACTTCAATCTTCAGTAAATTTGAAAGAATTGTTACAGTCCATATAAAGTATACCCAACACCAATCTCATGAAGTTGTCAATAAAATAGTTCTAGTTAAATGTTCCATGGAAATTATTTAAAAGGGTGTAAGTTTAATTCCTGAAGCCCTTTTCTTAGAAAGGATCTTGCTTAAAATCAACATACTGAGTATAAAGACGAACAGAATTTTGTGTGAGAACACTATACACATTGAAGGCTGTGTCCGGGAAGCAGGCACACGAGTGTCCCTTTGGATTAGCAATACTGAATGCAAGCCCGAGTCCTTCTGAGCACTGATGCTTACCCTTGTGTGCAGTTCGGATGGCATGGGTGGCACTCCCGATCCTGGTCAGCATATTTGAATATGAAACTGTTTGCCCCCTGTAAGCCGTCTGGACATTTTTCCACACAGTTGGGGCCATCCTTAAAGTGGGAGCACTTTGTACAGTTGTCAGGTCCCTGAGGTGTGAAAAACAAAACAGACAGAGAAAAATGGGTGCTGCTCCCTCTGAAACTGTAGGCCTGGGGCTTGGTCACTGAGACTATACTGGGTGGCTGGTGCTCTTCTAGGGAACTAGAGGATGCTTCCAGCAACACAAAAGGGGATGCAGCTATTCTAGCCTTTTGATCACCACCTTTTCCAAGGACTTTTCCAGAAGAATATCAGTATTTTCTTTCTGTCATTTAATCCTGGTTGTACTAAAAAGCAAACAATACTTTTTCTCCAGGGGCATTTTATCATAATCACTGGAAATATGGGGGGTTTCTTCCTAAATAGTCAATGAGGAAGATAAAATAATGGTCAATGAGGAAAAAGTAATTACACAACACCAAATTTCATATAAAAGTAAGATATTAATTCTGGTTGTCCAATGACTATTCAAACAATAGATATTAAAATTTAATATGGTGGAATATTAGGAATTAGGCAGTTTAGGTTAATAAAAGTTAATTTCTAAATTATTTTTAATCTCCATCAATTTATGATAATGCTAAAAGCAATATAATATTAATATTTAGGGATTTTACTGAACCAGAATACTGAGAGTCATAAAAAGACACATTCTGGTAGCCAAATATAAAAAATTCCATAATGATAAAGTAAATACATATGAAAAATTAATGAAGAAATGTACTCAGGACACATAATATAAATATGAGTATGATTAATTTAAATAAAATTAACTCATTTGAAATATTTATATTTATATATACAATAATTTTCTAATATGTAGGATGTTAACAAGCAATATGCATCAAATATTAAATATATCTAAATATCATCACAAAAGTAAACATTTTAAACTATAGTAAAAATCTAATAATTTTATAAAGAAAATTAATTTACATTTGGTACCAGGGACACTGAACATGCAAGAAATGAGTAGCATATCCTCCAGTTATTTTGAGAACATTTTGATTACAAATGGTATTTTCTTTTCTTTTAATATTTTATTTATTTATATTTAGAGGGGAAGGGAAGGAGAGAGGGAAAGAAATATCAATGTATGGTTGCCTCTTGTGTGTCCCCTGCTAAGAACTGGCCTGCAACCCAAGCATGTGCCCTGACTGGGAATCAAACCTTGATCCTTTTGTTCGCAGGCCCGTGCTCAATCCACTGAGCTACACCAGCCAGGGTTGATTACAAATGATATTTTCTTAAAAGACGCCAATGTTTTTACTCATTTAGCTCTTTGGAAAAATGATATTACTTGCTTAAGATTTAGTTCTCCTTTTTGAACATCATATTGTCTTAGGTTTCCTCTTTGACCACTTCCTTTGAAAATTTTTCCTTGATCTATTTCTCCCTGAAATCTGTCTACATCCACATGATTTAACAGTTCTGATGAGTCATATTGACTACAATTTATAGAGCTAAGATGTAGTAAATATAGTGAGAGATAATGCATTTTGTTAGGTTTATAATTGTGAACAATGTGGATCTGGAAGCCAAGAGCCAGCAAACTTCATACAGAACTAGGTGTTGGGCAGGGAGCATGGAAATCGGTCCACTCATGGGAGTACACCGCATCTCTCCATAAATGTTAACCACAAAGCAGGTAGACTTTGCAATCTGGTCACATAAGGCATCTGCAAATTAAGAAATATAATATTTTTAACACTTAAAGACAGAGGCTGCCCTGCTGGTGTAGGTCAGGGGATTGAGTGTGGGCTGCAAACCAAATGATCGCCAGTTCAATTCCCAGTCAGGTCACATGCCTGGGTTGCAAGCCAGGTCCCCAGTAGGGGACCTTTGAGAAACAACCACACTCTGATGTTTCTCTCTCTCTTTCTCTCTCCCTTCCCCTCCCTCTAAAAATAAACAAATAAAATCTAAAAAAAAAAAAAAAAAAAAAGACAGAGGCTGCTAGTAAAGAATAGTAGTATAAAAAAGTAAAAGTAATCTTAAAGATGTTTCTGGAAATCCTGAGACTGTTGAAGTTCAGTTAGGCACAGGCACCTGTCTATTTCACTATTTTGATGTGAGACTTAGAGCTTTGACAAAAATAAATTATCCTATGACACCTAACCCCTATTCAACCTGAAGAGTTTGCTACTGGCAACTTCTTATTTCCTACCAGAAAAGAATACTTCACATGCTTCCAATTTTAACACCTGCTCAAGGGTACTTAGGCATGTAATGCCTTCTATTATACAAAATCATTTACTGTGCAGGTATGCTCAGTGGCATGACTTATTGTACAAGACAAGGGATGTGCTGATTGTTTCTTGCAGAACACAAGAATAAAACTTACGATGAGTAAATTAGGCAGCTATAGTTGCAATTAGAAATCAGAAATTATTTTTCTATCTCAGAAATGGAGATCCCATGGAGGGTTATCAGTGAGCAGAGGAAAGAGGGAGAATGGAGGAAAAGTTACAGCAAATAAGAAGAGTAACTGCTAAGTACAAAATAGACAAGGGGAGGAGATGGAGAAGCCGAAGAACTTACATGTACAATGCATGGGCATGAACTAAGGAGGTAGAATGCTGGAGGGAAGGGGGTTACAGGGTGGAGGAGGATAAAGGGGAGAAAAAATGAGACACCTGTACTAGCATAATCAATGAAATCTGATTAAAAATAAAATAAGATCATTGTAAGAGAAAATAATGTCCTGGTAAAATCAGAAGATATACAAATTATGAAATTAAAATTTAATTCACATTTAAACTTTAAGTGCATTATAAAATAATGTACTTTTTGTTTTTCTTTGTATAAGTGTTTATTTTGATATAAAACCTAGTACCCCGAGCTGACATAACTGAAATTGTCCTGTCAAATCTCAAAAGAAATGAAATGTACTGTTTCTTAATTTAATTTCAATAATAAAGAGATTTAAAGAAATATATGTGTCTAATGCTTATTATTCTATCGTTATATTCCTAAAGCTTTTAAGAACCTAGGTTCATTCAATGAACTAATAAATGTAATAATAATAATATTATAAATAGAAGTGAAGGAAATATTCTTCTATATCTCTGATTTTAAGCTATACCTGGACTCACTGATCTAGACAGAAACTATAATAAACACTACATCCTGATGGAAACACTACATTTTTTATTCTCAGTGACAATTGGTGTTTTTCTCCAGTAGCTACTTTAAGAGACAAAGCTACATTCCACAGGCATCCAATTCTCTCTACTTCCAGCCACATGGGATTTTTGATATTCTCCTCTCACCAGGGGTCAGGTATATCTTGCTTTGTACAATATAAATAGAAGGGATTTATGAGATTTTGATTACCAAACACTCCAGCCTCCTCTTTCCCTGCTGCCATGGATCAGGGACTCACGTAGGGCTGGAGATGCCTTGAATTCATAGCATCTTGGAATACTAGACCATCACATGAAATTGCCTTAGAACCTTTCCTAGACTTACAGCACATTTTACATTAAAAAATTGAAACATTTTTCTGTAAACTACTATGAAATGAGGACAGCTACTTTAGTTTTCATGAAAATATATTCTAAAAATCAGTTCTGTTCCCCTATCTCTTCTCTTCTTCTATCTCTCTGGCTCATATTTTGGTTGCCTAAAAGTTTGTCTGATTTCCCTACTTTTCTTTCTTCTCACATGCCATCCATTATCCTTCTAAATAGTAGAGGAGTGATGAAAGAGAAACAAGAAGAATAAGATGGTTAAAAAATAAATAATAATAGTAAAATAAAGAAGACCGAGTGCAGACAGACAAGGATACAAAAGCAAAGGCTTCCTCTATTTCAAATCTATCCCTCTTAAGAGTATCCTGGATTTTTGTCCTACTTCAATAAAATAATACGATCCTATTTTATATATAGGTGCCATATCCAGAAAGCATGTTATCCTTATTACACTACAGACATTTTTTGCCTGGGGAAAAAAAAGGGGATGAAAAGAGGGCAAAAGTTAGAGTCAGAACTTTTATAATTGGGTGTCAGTTCCATATCACACTGGCTTGTTGACTTTTTGGTGTAACTTGATAATCATTACAGGTTCAATTTCTCTATAGTTTAAATGAAGAATGTGATGGTATGCACCATACATAAATGTTTAGTACATATGTATTTATAAACATAAAAAGTAAATATATATATATGTATATGTATAGATTGTTATTATGAAGAAAACATTGACAGATCAGAAAGGTGGGACTTAAACAGAATTAATCATGAGGGAATTCCAGCAGGCTTTATGACTTTTTTCCTCTATCTCATCTCAGTGTTGGTCTCTTAGAGAATTTTCCAGAACCTCTTGGATATCCAAAGTGGTATATGCCTGTTGCATGGCCCACAAAACCTCCTCTTCTCTGGTTGTGGTAATCAAACTGTGGACTCAGAAAGAGGCAAAAACCTAACATGAATTGTGATGGCTAAGAGCACGCAACCCCCCAGTGAGAGTAAATTAAGGCTATTGTCGGAGCTCAGTCCTGCCGGCCTTGCAGACAGCAGAACTCAGAAGACGTGTGTCCGTACATGCTGAGTGTCCCCAGGCTTACTGATCAAGTAATCAAGGAGGTGTCCTCGATTCTGTTCTCTGATCTTTCACAGATGCCGATTCAGTATTATTAAACTTTTTCTCCTTTTGCCTCCTCTGATCCTCAGACATGTCAACTCTCAACTTTAGGCCTGGGTATTGCCTTCTCTACTTTCTAAACCAGCAATTTTCAACCTTTTTCATCTCATGACACACATAAACTACTTAGTACAATTTTGAGGCCCACCAAAACATATATGTTTGCAGATGTGACCAAAATAGGTATTATTTTGATTCATTCATATTGGATGGCTATTGCTGTGACGGCTGTTGTCCTTTTTTTACTTGACAATCTAAGGGAAAAAAGGTCAGTGCCTCTGACTAAATAGTCAGGTATTGCATGTTTTAAACATTCTTCCAGCACATCAGTGTGCTGTGACATGCTGGTTGAAAAATCACTGTTCTAAACATATTAATGCATAGTTTTATCCCTGGTTAGTGATTTTAAATATATGATCCAACAATGCTATCATTAGAGAATCAAAATGATGTCCTTGAAACAATTAAAAAAAAGAAAGTAGAAAACCGCCCTCAAAGACACAGAAAATAAGTGTATGGTGGTTACCAGAGGGAAAGGGGGTTTGGGGTGTTAGAAGAGGGCATAATGGGAATAAAGGGTGATGAAGGAGACTTGATCTGGGGTGGCGAACACACAATACAACATACAGGTAATGCTTTATAGAATTGTACTCCTGAAACCTATATAACTCTTTTAACCCATCTCACCCCAATAAATTTAACATAAAAGTTAAAAAAGCTCAAAATTAATAAAAATACCCATTTTTCACTCTTTTTTAGCCAACAAATAATTTTGAAAATGGAAAAGACACTAACTGAGAGGAGTTTTGTATGTGTATTCTATAAGCTGTCTTAATTCTTTAAAATAGCAAAAGAATCATGGACACATTCTTGATTATTCTATCTAATTATATATTTTCAAAGTCTTGGTCTCTCTAGGAGAAATTTTATTATTCTGTGACTTATGGTCAAGAAGGTACTTAAATATGTTAGTTTTTAAAGAAGTCACATCAATAGTGCAATTTGCTTTGAAACCATGATGAAAGTTTATATCCCTGTGCTGTTTCATGACCTCCTTTCCAGACTCTATGCTTCTCATGCCGCAGATACATTGTGTTCTCCCTTACTATTCTTACTGGGAAAAGAAAATGACTGTGTATTCCCTTTGCATACTTCCTTGGTGATCATTACATATTAAACTGTCTTTAAGACTTCGGTTCCTCAGGCCAATCACACCACTCCTTTTCCTCAGAGGCCTGATTTCTCAAGCTTAATCTTCCTGGGGTAGTCCTCTGAGCGTCCAAGTTTTCCACATCCTTCTTTAGATGAAGTGCCAGGATGGCTCACTGGGGCCTAATGGGAGTTTGGAGGGCTTGGTGATATGTTTTTTTCTTCTAAGCTAATTAAGTGCAGAATAAGCACTCTGGCAGAAACACTGATACAATTTAATTTTAAAATACATTTTTATGGAAACATGTTGAACTCTTGACGATACCCAAATGTTGGTCCTCAAGTCATCTACTGAGAGATGACTCAACACACAAATAAAATGGAAATTTGTCTAAAGAAGGATGAATATGACATTTTGGAATGACAAACTTATACGGAACTTTTTATCAAGAGAAAGCCTGCATGGCGGGACCCAAAGGGAGGTCTGAAAAGTAATGATCATTTTCTCTGTAAGGCTAACTTCAAACTGTGTGGGTATAAACCTGTCCATGAAGACTTTCCTGATCCCATACCCTCCCCTTAGGTTCTTATACCTCAGATTTTCTCCTTTGGCATGGTATTTATCACACTGCTTTAGACTTTAGTTTGTATTTGCCTTCCTCTTTCTTTCAACTGTCCTTCACAATGTCATCATAGTTAAATAATTAAACACAGAATGCATTACAGTTTACCTCAAAATAAGAAATTTCACATTTGCATAGCTTTGCGTGTTTTTGCATTCCAGATTTTAATTCAAAGCATAGCTCAAACATCACTTCTCGATGGCCTTTCTCAATGCCCCCACCTTCCCATCCCCAAAAGAGATTAGTTCCTCCCTTAACTGTATTCCTATAGCAATTTATACATATTAATAATTTATAATTTATTTGTCTTCAATTTAATTACTTATGCATCTCTCTTTTCTTTTCAATGTGGTGTAATCTTCAGGTCCAACTCCATATCTTCTTTCTGAATACATGATCTGGGACATAAACATTTAAGAAATTGAATTTTGAATATTATATCTCCATGACTACACTTACGCCTCTTCAGGATGAAATACCAAATGTGATTCCCCACAGCATGCTGGAGATATTTATTGAAAGTGTGGCTCAACAATAAAGCAATGACATAAACATTCATACATGAAAGGGAATAAGCCAACACAACCACAGATGTCCTCAAGCTTACCGGTCCATGGCACGTGGGGATGCCGTCTTCCATCTTCTCACATTGGGGGTCACACTCCACACAGATGGAGCCATTCGCAAACTCCCGAAACTCGCTGTGGAAACATCAGCTGCATGAGGTGGTGTAAGCAAACAAGCTGTCAACTTAACAAATGAAGTAACATCTGCTAAGAGTCCTATTGGCAGAGTAAACTCTAGCGTTTGTTTCTCTCTGTGCCAGGAGCATCGGAATCATTTCTCCAAACATTAAGGAATAAAAGTTCTCCATTAGGAGAAAAGACAAACTGCAGCCAGATGGCTCTTGTCCTCCATTGGGTTCAAAGATAGACTCATTCAGGAAACCTCTCTCTTGTAAGAGATATTACAGACATCTCAAAAAAAAAAAAGGATAACTCTTCTGATGACATAGCAGAACTGCTTTTACCTACTTAAGAAAGGCTGTCTCTGCTGGTCTCTCTATAAAATTTTACTCTTAGTGGGAGCTATGCTTTTTAAACTCTGAGAGAACCATTGTCTTTTTCTTGTTGCTAAGTTATGTGAATATTCCCCATCCTTGTTCTTCAAATCCCAAGACTCTTTAATTTATTTTTGGTGAAACTTCAAAAATTGCTTTGATTTCTTTTCTGCTTTTAAAATATATGCCTTAGAGAATTAGAGAAAATATCTTTTTATGGCAGGTTTTATTTTCTTAGACTATTGATCTAATATCACAACATCTTTTTCAGTTTAAATTCTTTTTGAAGTGATTCTATATGATGTAAAATAAAAAAATAGTTTAATAGTAACATTCTAAAACTTTCTAATTAAAAAATCTGGGATGATGGTCATCCCTTCATACACCTTATACATTATGGCTATTTGTAATCTATATCTACTCTAAAATTTTCATTTTGATGATTGAGTATTAGTCATGTACAATATGTTTAAATCACTGTATTCCTACTAATATATGAGTGAATGAAGTACTGGGCCAACATAATTCAGAATGTCAGTTATGAGTCATTAACAAAATGTCTAAATAGTTATAGCTACTGTATTAATTGTGCCTTTGTATTGTGATGTACCATTCCAAACTAACAGCATTGCAAATATGGTAATCTTAAGTTAATTAGGTGACAAAGTCAAATTCATTTTTCTCTTGAGTGAAATACTTTTTTTATAGTGAAATATCTCATTTTGTCACTGTAAAGCCTTAATAAATGACAGAAGTCTAAAAGTTGGGCTCTATTTTCTGTTGTTGAGATTAAGATTATGTCTATTCCAAGGTGAGATAATTCAATTTGATTTCTCAAAGGAATAGGACACATCAGTAGTTGAGATATGTATGAATGCAAATACATGGATTTTACATTTTATATTTTTAAGTGAGGTGTTAGCCTGTTATGGATGAAACATTTTATGAACTTTCTTAAGTTTAAAATCTCAATTGTATTAGAACTGATTTTCTTTGGCATGTTTTGTCAACATGAGTGATACAAAATACTCAACTAGGAAATCTTAGAAATATAAAGAGAAAAAGGACCTGGTGTTGGAGCTGGGGGAGTAGCTAAATTATAAAGAGAATCAGAAGTGTTATCTGTATAATGACACTACATAACAGTTGCAGCAATGCCTGTGTCATCAGCGAATTACTTCCCCTGTCGACAGCTTTCTAGGATGACTAAAGGGTTATGGTGCTAAATAAAGGTCATAGTTTTTATGACACTAAAATATAGGTCGTGTTAATTTTCTTTGCTCCAAAATCTCCTGTCCCACACACAGAGTTGAGGTAAAGTGAATATGTGACTAAGAAACTCATAGAGACACGCTAGCTGCCTTTTCTTGTCTAGACTGATTTCCATTTGCAGGGCTTCTGGCTGTCTTCCTCTCTGCTCCCAGAACAGGTTCTCCTTGCAGTTTCTCTAACTTCTCGTTATTGGCATTTTTTCTCTAACTTCTCGTTCGCGGCATTTTTTCTTCCAGCTCCTCTAAAGATTCTACTATGACTTTGCTAGTGATCCCCTTTCACTTGAACCTGACCTAACAGATCACAGTCTCCTGAGCATGAGCTTTGCATACAAGAGCTTTTTATTACTTGCGTTCACTGCTATACATTTTTCAGTGTGCTGTGTGCCTGCTATCTTAGCCAATACTTTGAAGTCAAGTCTTCCCTAATTTAAATCCCAGCATCCACACTAATATTTCCAGGACTTAAAACCCTTAACTTCTCCAAGCTTCAGTTTTTTAAGTACCCTTTGTAAAGGGGAAAATAACATTTTAAAGAAAGGTTGTGATTATTAATTGTGAAAATGCTTACAAAGAGCTTAGACTGGCACTCGTTTGGATTTTTTGTTTTGTTCTAACAGTTTCAGAAGTGTTTAATCACAGTACCAGATAAGAACATTTCAAAGATCCCATTGCAATTAGCTTTCTCTTTCATTTTGATTGCTTGTGGTTAAGAGTTGGCAAAATCCAGTAAGTCAAATTACTTGAATTTGAGTATTAATAGCCAGAAGATGACTAATTTTCTCCTAACCTTTTAAAAAGCTCTCTATTTGGGATTGCTTCTCATAAGTATATGAATAAGATTTTGGTAAATGTCATACTATATTTGTGTTTAATTTTAGTAGTTTTTCAGGTAATGGTTCTACCTAGCCATTTTGTCAGCCCAAATTAATAGACACAGAAATAATAACAATTTTAATGGTAAGAATTTTAAGAAAATTTGTTATCTATTTTCTCATTTCATAATCACAACTATTTTATGAAGTTGACAGCATTACTAATCTTATTTTCATATAAGAAAACCGAGTGAACAATAATTGGCTTATTTGTCTAGGGTTGGGCATTTCAACTAGGAAGTGATGAAGTTAGGCTTTGAATTCAGTTTTCCTCAAAGGCTGTCTTAACCATCAGGCATTGTTAGAAGAAATTACCCAGTACCACAGGAGTGGAGATGGGGTAATCTACCATGTTTGGGCAGGCAAGACTCAAATGAGATTCTTATAAGATAATGTCATTTATTATCTTTCAAGTTAACTCTGCGTATGGTTTTCTAGGGCCCCATTACTACTTCAAAATACATGAAAAGCATTACATTTCTTTAATACATTTGATTTAATGACATAGAAAATGTCAAATGTTTAGAAACAGTCTGGTAATTATTGTTTATTTAGGAAACAGTATTTTTTCTTTGCTTAGTTTTCACTGTTTTGCCAGTTGAGACAGAGGATGGTGTATACATCCACATATTTATTAATTTTATATTTCTTATAAGTTTAAAACTAAAATGTTAAAGAAAAGCAATGGCATCTGGAAAGGAAAAAATGATGCCTTGATTATAGTGTTGGCTTGGTTCTTCTGCAGGGGTTTGGCTTCGGGCAACACAGATTCCACATCAGTTCTCACCAGTTGGATTTGCACATATACATTCAATTCACTTTTAGTGTGACCTTCACTTCACAGAATTAAAGTCTGTTAGTTTCATTATGGTGGCATGGATTGCCACACACAAATAAGCATATTCGACCAGAGGTATTTTATGTACAAAAAATATCACACTTTTGTAATCATAAACAAGCATGAACACATTTCAATGACACAAACAGCACATAATTTGTTATTCATTATCAAATTTATGAGCTGATTGTACCTTACAAAATTATAAGCTGAAATTTTCCTGAACAGCTATCAAATTATTATTTAATGATTTTGTACTTTAAAAAAAAAACTGATCTTTTTCCCCAAAATTCCTTGGACAGGATTGTGGTCATCCTTCAAAGAAGAAACATAGCAATACCCTTATGATTCAGATATTTCTATCTTTCTGTTATAAAATACCCAAGTACAATGTTACCTGAGATCATGAAAATAGTCGTTAATACTAGGACAATTCATGGGGCAGAAGAAGAAATTAAATAAAGAAATTCAAAACTATACTTTTACAAAACTGCTGAAAGTACTTTCTGTGAGCAATATTAAAAAATTTGACTCAGGGACAGTAGGAAAAAAATGTATTATCACACTAATGAAGGACAACTACAATGCGTGAAATGGCATGTAATGATAAAGTGATTTTATGGGTCTATTTAATGGCAGGCAGCAAGGTATATACTAGGTTTTATTGTAGTGTTAGAAGGAATTTAAGACACTTGACTTAAAATATTGCTTAGGTTATCTTTAGAAAGTGGCAGAACACTTAGAAAAACCTATTCAAGTAGAAATTATGAGGGTAGTTTTTCTATAGGGCTAAGCAGTTGTCAGAAACATAGAAATGTGTGCCATTCCTAATACTAAATCAAATAGACATGCAACCATTGAAAAAAAAGTTATATATAATTGTAGATGACTATTGACAGATAGTATGAGAAAAAAGATTATTGGGACATATAAAAGGAAAGATCACTTATAACAATCCTTTATATAAGAATAGAAATATAGTTTTAATTTTGTTTAAGAGAAATTTTAATATTTCATTAAGAATTATCTATTTTGTTACATGTTTTTAATGCGAATAAACTTAATATATATTTGGACTATTTATTTCAAATAATATAATTTTCTCTTTAGTTAATTTGCTATAAGTTGTCTTCATTATGCCACAAAAGCTCTCCTGAAAAATCTGGGACAGAACAGAGATACCAAAATTTTACGATTTTCTTGTCATTTTAAAATCTGAACCAAACAGCACTTTCAAAGGTCAGGGGGACAGGCGACATGTAGGATGCCTTACCCATCATAGAGATTACAAGACTCTATGCAGCTCCTGCCCCTGCTGAAGCGACGGCAGGACAGGCACTGGTCTGGCCCAGGTCCCCAACAGCCATCGTTTGAACACAGATGGTTGCACACCATTCCTTCAGCAGCTGAAAAACACACCAGAATCAAGAGCAAATAAACAGAAGCTTGTGTCAAAACTTATGACTCTAATATACACCTTCCTAACTAAAGCCATCTCTGTAGGAGTTTGATTGAAAGAGGTCTACAGCAGACAACTTCGGTTGCCTGTCCAGTCGCCTGTCTGGTCACTATGACTCCAAGTTTCTGCAGCTTCTTCATATTGCAGAGCTCGGTCACTGTGTTTGCACAGCGACAGTGCTCTTTTAATAAAATGGAACCAATGTCATTTGTTTATGTCTAAACTCTACAGGGGACATGTGAAAGACATTAAACTTCCCATTAAGGGGAGGACAAAGTATACCTTTCTGAAGCCCACCCTTTGTTCCACAATTACACCAAACTTTTGGCTTCAATTCCATACAACAGTTTCACGAAGAGAACAAATGATACTTGTCATAAAATGAAAATAATATTAAAAGACAAAATGGATAAAAAAGCAAATATATGGAAAAACAGAAGGGGAGAAGAAATAGAACTAAAACACCGTACAAGTTTACTGGTGTCTGCTGTAGTCTGACAAGGTGTTCTGGTTTGCATTTACCAAATGACTAAGGATACTGATGATGTTCTTATGATGAACTCCTTTAACTTAATTTTAATATGATTATTTCATATCCATGTACCTTGTTTGCTGAAGTATCACCAAATCTTATGTCAGTTGTATATTGCATTGATTGTTTTCTTAGTATGGAGTATTGAGAGCTCTTTCTCTATTCTGTAAATATTTCCTTCCTGTCTTAGCTTTGTCTTTTCTTACTTTGAACACTGCCTTTTAATAAGAACTTTTGATTTGGGTTAAGTACAATTCATCAATTTATTTGAATCATGCTTTGGGTATCATATCTAAGAAATCTTTGTCTAACCTAAAGGAACATAGTTTTTCTCTGATGTTTTCTTTTAGAAGTTTTAGGAGTGTGGGAGTTACATTTAGGGTGTTGGATGACCCATTTTGAGCTGGTTAGTGTGTATGGTATTGTATTAGTCAGGGTTCTCCAGAGAATCAGAACCTGATTCTAAAATACCGAATTAGACTTGTATCCCTATAATAAACCCCATTTTGTTATGCTTTATAATCAATTTTACATATTGCCGAATGCTATGTGCTACCTTGAGAGATATAAGAGTCTGTGCTTTCAATTTTTCTCTGGAATAGGGTAATCTTTGTTCATATTTGGGTCCTAATCTTCAAATCTCTCATGCAGAGTAGGAATGTTCATTCATTTTACAGGTGGGCAGAGGCTCAGAGAGGCTGAGCTGCCCAAGGTCACAAATGTCAGAGTAGGGGTTTAAGTACCATTCTGCTTTCTCTCTTTACTACCCAATAGGGATGAAAGTCCCAGCTCCCTGTTCCGCCTGACACCATCTGGTGGGGAGATGGGCATCACATTACAACCTGGTGAAGATGGGAATCTGGGAAGCCCACACTTTTCACTCATTGGCTTGCATGGATGAAGCTGGGGCCACAGCTTTGTTTGGTTTGGTTTGGTTTGGTTTGGTTTGGTTTGGTTTGGTTTGGTTTTCTGTGGTGTTTGGCTGGGGTAGAACAGCTATTGTCTAACAGGTTTTTGTCTTGCTAGTGTGCACCTTCCCAGGCCCTTTCGAAGAGAAAACAGGCTTTTGTTGAGGGCTTTTTTGGTCTTGCACCTGTTGGTGTTTTTCAGTTGCCAATGTCTGCATCTTCACATACGGGATACATGAGACAAAAATAAAACTTAACTCATACCTGTGTGTTTCTGGGATGCTAAATCTATCTTCTTTTTTCTCGCCACCTTCCAAACTTTTATTCTATTCTTTATATGTAGTGTTCAGGGGTTTTAGTTGTACTTAGCAAAAGAACTAGGGAAAAGTATATCTACTTCATCTTTCCTGAAGCAGAAATCTAGTGTACATCTGTAAGACATGGTGGTCTATTTTCAAGACACACCTCACCACTTCAGGCAAAGTCTAAAAATCTGAAAGTAGGTTGATCTATTTATCTCACCAATTCATATTAATTTTTTTGTTTGAAAACCTCTCACTCTTGTGTCTTCTCTTCCCCATTCCAAGAGTGATAGAACCACAGCACAAGGAGGGGAGGAAACCTGAAATTTATTTATAAAAAACGTGTATTTATTCTTACATGATTAAACTTCCATCACCTTCAAAGACTCTTCTTTGGATGAAATACGCCTATTGAGGTGCCTTTCCAATTGCTCAAAACAGTTTTGGAACTCTTCAATTTTGATGTTTTTTAGTGCTCCTGCTGTTTTTGTTTGTTTCACCTCTTTCTCACGGGCAAAATATTTTTCTTTGTGTACTGTTTTCATCAGGGGAAACAAAAAAGTCACTTGGGGTGAGATTGGGTGACTAGGGAGGGTGGGGTGCAGGGATCATGCTGGTTTTGGTCAAAAACTGCTGAACGTGCAGCGTGGTGTGGGCAGGTGCGTTCGTGAATCACACATCATGAACTGGGCAAAATGCATCGAAAGAGTCTTCAAAAAAACTCACTGAAGCTGAAGACAATCTCCTACAACAATGCCAGCTGGTACACTGGTACAGATGCATTCCTAGAATGCTCACCTAGCAGCGGAAGCCTATACCAGAAGGGATCTGCCCCTAGAAGATAATTCCTGTTTTGGGGATCCCCTTTGTATGCAGAGGGGTGAAATCTCTCTGCTTTGATTTTATGATGTATCCTTTGACATTAGTAGGAGAGGAGGGTTTTAGCTTTACCCAAGCCACCTTCATTTATGCCGTTTACTGCCCGCCTTGGTCTGTATTCGGATGCTCAATTACAGGGCAATTTTGGATTAGGGAAACAGTGTCTACTGGAGAAAAGCAACAATAAACAGAAAACTATAATGATTACTTTCTTTTCATTCATTCCAAACTAGTAGATGATGATACGGAAGGCTGGTGATCATTTTCTCCAAAGTGAAACCAAGGAAAGTATCTCCATACAGCACAGAACAAAAGGCCAAGGATGCTACCTCTTTGAAATTCTTAAGAGAAAAGAAGTTTTTGATCAACACCAAGAATTCAACAGCCCTCGGACCTCCTCCCTACATGGAAAGGAGTAGGAAGCCTATTCAATAGCTTACAGTACACAAGGCCACTATAAACCTCTCTAAAGAGACTTTACCAAAAGTAAAGACAACCTTTAACTTTCTCTGTGTTTTCTCTGGAATCTGTGAAATAAATTTTTCTTTATTTTATCTGAATTGCCCTGGTCTGCTAAAAATGTATGGATGAAAGGAAACTTGACTTGGGGTGGTGAACACATAACATAGTATACAGATGATGTATTATAGAATTGCATACCTGAAACCTATATAATTTTTTAATCTCCACCCAAGGATATGTGTATTGATTTCAGAGAAAGAGAGAAAGATCAATGTGAGAGAGAACTATTGATTGGTTACCTCCAAAATGTGCCCCGAGCAGGGCATATTGCAGCTGAGGGCACATTGCAAGACACATAATTCTTGCAACCCAGGAAGGAATGTGCTCTCATGGGATTTGAACCCACAACCTTTAGTTGTATGGGACAGCAGTCCAGCCAAATAAGCCACTAGGTCTGGGCTGAAACCTATACAATTTTATTAACTAATGTCACCTCAATAGATTCCATAAATATAAAACAATAACAAAAATATTAGAGAGATAATACTGTTTGGTATTTTGACCTTTATAGGTAAATTGCACTTACTTTCATTAAAATATAGGCAAGTTTAAGTAATGGATCCTGTTACTGTGCTGTACGTGTAGAAACCTTGAAGCATGTGCCATTATGGCCAACATTTACTTTTTCCAGCTTTATTGAGATAAAATTACTTATAATACTGTGTAAGTTTAAGATGTACAATGTGATCTGACATATGCATGTATTGCAAAATATTTACCACACTAAATTTAGTTAATACATGTTTGATCTCAAATAATTACCTATGTTGCTATTGTTATGTTGAGAACATTGAACCTATTCTCATAGCAACATGCGAGTGTGCAGTGCCGTATTGTTAACTATAGTCACCATGTTGTACCTGAGAACCCGGAACTTACTCATCCTATAATGGGAGGTGTGTACCCTCTGACCTACATCTCCCCATTCCCACCCTTCCCCCACTCAGGCCCTGGCAGTGGCTACTTTACTCTCTGTTTCTATGAGGCTGGTGTTATATATTCCACATAGAAGTGGGATAATATACTGTACAACTTTCTCTGCTTAACTTAATTAATGTAGCATGATGCCTGAAGATCCATCCATGTTATCACAAAGGTAGGGCTTCCCTCTTTTTATGGCTGAATAATATTTCATTCTACATTCACCTGTTTGTGGACACTTATTTTATTCCTATATATAGTTAATGTGAATAATGCTGCAATGAACATGGGAATACAGACATTTTTGACATCCTGACTTGATTTCCTCTTGGTACAACCCTGGTAGTGGAATTGCTTTGTCATATGCTAGGATATTTTTCTGTGTGTTTTTATTTTTTATTTCTGAGGACCCTCCATATCATTTTCCATAGTGGATGTACCAAATTAGAAGCCTTTTGCCCACATCCTCACCAGTGCTTCTTCTCTCTTCTCTTTTGAAAATAGCCATTCTAACAGGTGTGAGCTGAAATATCATTGTGGTTTCAATTCTATTTTCCCTGGTGATTGGTGGTGTTGAGTACATTTTCATGCAGGTGTTGTATGTATGCCTCCTCTGGGGAAAAGTCTATTCAAGTCTTCTGCCCATTTTTAATCAGATTTTTTTGTGATTGAGTTGTATAAATTCTTTATATCCTTTGACTATTAACATCTTTTCAGATATAAAATTGGCAACTATTGGGTTAGCCAAATAAGCCCATGTTTATTTCCATGAAGTAAAAGACACATTTTTCAATAATCACTTTATTTATTTGGATATTTTGACTATGTTGGCTATCTCCTGCATGATATAACATTGATTGTTTTCAATTAACATATTAATTTG